TTATAATTTTTTTGGGTTGTTTCAATGGGAATGGAATAGGGATAGGGAAGAGGATTATTATATCCAAACCATGGGGATAACTGAACTGTACCTGTGTGAATAAGCATGGGGAACCTTGATATTTTACAAAAATAATCGTGGGGATCCTCGAAAGATATTTGTGAGATTACGTGTTGCCACTGTTACATCTCAAGTGAACTAAAATTGAAGTTTAGATCTTTTCTCATTTAATATATATTGATTTTTTAGATTAAAAATGGTTAAGATTGTACATATACATTGGGTGTTGGATGAATATTAACGTTTAAAACTTTCATATTATATATAAAGACCAATTTGAGACAATCTGATATATCTTACAAGTTTTAGGTGTTGCATTAATTTAAAAAATGTTTGTTTATTTTTTTAGGATGGAGATTAATCGAAACTCGCGGGGATCCGTAAGGGATGGGTATGGGGACAAAAAATTCCTGAAACATATAATGAGAATTCCCTAAAACCATATTCGCAAGTGTTGGGAACGAAATGGGTAATGCAAAACCGTCTCCGCCCCTTTTCGTTGCCACCCCTACCACTTGCTTCTTATGGTAAAATCATTTGACATAAGTACTTCAAAGATTGAGGAAATTAAAGATTATCATTCCATCTAGCAATTTTCTTATTAGTTTATATAAATAATCAATTTTAGAGAAAGATATATTTATTATTTGATGGAACATATGTTAAAAAGAATCAAAATTCCATAATTGCACTTATGAAAATTCTATTTGTCTAGCCTAAAATACAAATTAGATAGCAAGAAATTTAATCCAATCATATTTAATTATAGGGTAAACTACACATTTTGTACTTAAATTATCAATGTTATTTCGTTTTAGTACCTAAATTTTTATTTATTTCAAAATCATATTTAATGTTTACTTTTTGTTTTATTTTAGTACCACATTGTTAAATATTTAATGGAACTACTACACGTGACATTTTTATGGGTAAATTATTCATCACTTAACTATCTTCTCTCTCTTATTTTTGTTACTAAAGTTTAAAAAATTTCAATTTAACTATTCAACTTTCAAATTTTTCATGTTTTAATCACTCTAATTTATTTTATTAATAATTTTGTGACATGACAATTTATTATTTTTTTATTAGCATATAATTAAAATAAACAAAATTAAAATTTGAAGTTAGAGTGATTAAATTAAGAGTAATTTGAAATTTAAGTAATTAAATTTAAAAAACTAAACTTCAGTGACCAAAATATGAGTGAGAAAATAATTGAACGATGATTGATGTAATTTATTCATTAAAATGTGTCACGTTATAAACCCGCTAAGTTTTTTAACATGGAGGTACCAAAATGAAACAAAAAAATAATTATTAGATATGTGTCGTAACCGATTTTCGCCCGGTAGGACGTTTCTTGGGGAAAAGCAAGTACATAAATAAATGGTTTTTCATGAAATATTTTGGAGTCGTCATCGACCTTATTGGGTTAGGTAGGTCGAATACCTAAAAACCACATTTTAAAAGAGTTTTTAAGAAAACATCATTTTAAAAGATAAATCAGTCTACGTGTAACCATAAATTCATTCTTTTTTAGTAATAAAAGGGATTCGAGGTCGATTACGCGTGAGGAAGGATAAACACCGCCACAACGCCCAAAATTGGTACTCCATTGATTATAAATTGTCTCTAGTAGTGGAAATCTAAGAATTCAAATATGAATTTAATTTACGATCATATTATTTCAAATTCAATCGCAAAATATTCTAAGGAAAAAATAGAAAATATTCCAATATTTCCAATCGAAGAGAAAATAATCCCTAAAATATTTTAGGAAGAATATTTCTCTTTTCAATTGAAATAATAAGAATATGTTAATTCTTCCCAAGAACTCAATATTAAAATAATTTGATATAACCAAAATGAATATAAATAAAGTAGGCATATTCTATTTTTTTAGGTTTTTATAAGTGGGGTATTTATTTATTTTAAAACATCAAAATAAGACATCTAGTTACTTTAAGACAATCATTTCTTAATATTTAAAAATAAATAAATATTATCCCTTAATCAAATTATGAAATGGGTCAAGTTATACCTATGAGTCTTTCATATATATATATATATATATATATATTCATGTGACTAAAATGGAATAAAAAAAATAAAAGAAATAATTGAAGTACTAAATTTAAAGTATCAAAAAATAAAGGACAATAATAAAAATAAAATAAAATTGCGATTAAACAGTGACCAAAATAAAAGAAATTAAAACTATAGCATCATATTTAAGAATAAAATAATAACATAATTAATTAATGACTAAAATGAAATAAAATAGAAATTAACATGCAAAAATCGAAGAATATCGGTGACCAAAATAAAAAAAAAGCCTAAACTAGAAGGGCTTATGGGTGATTAACCCACTAACTAGTGACTTAAATGAAAAAACACGCTTAAAGTACAAGGACTTTAGCGTGGTTTACCCCAAAAATTAAACCCTTCACCGACCAAAATGCAAAACACGTCAAATATATAGAGACTTAAACGTGATTTAACCCTAAAACTTATGGCTAAAATATAAAAATATGGATAAATTTAAAGCACTTAAGGATAATTTACCCAAAACCTAAGCTATATTTATATGTATTTTTCTATTGTTTGGCTAACCTAGCCACTATTATCCTCTTCTTTTCTCTCAACCGAAAGAAGTAAACTTCTCTATTCTTATTCTTTCACAACCGACTGAGCAACCCAAGCATAACATCTCGTCGCCAGCCATCGTAAATAGGTGGTCATTCACTCTTCCGACCACCCTAAACAAAAACCCGAAACAAAAAACATTCCCCCCATAAATTTTAAGTCCCAATTTGGGTCTAAAATACCGAGCACGAGACTTGAACAAACTCAAGTCTTCCTCCGATGTTTCGCCGGTGACCTGGACTCCAATGATGAACCAAGAACGAGGTAAAATTATCCTCTTTACTATTTTTTTAGCTTACTATTTTTTTATTTCAAAAAAAAAATAAAATGTAAAATACAAAGCTGAAAAAAAAAATAAAACCAAATGTAAAAATAACCTTTGATGTTTTCTTTCTGATATTTTTTTGTATTGCTGGTAGTTTTCTCCGAAAAAATTTACATACTGTTCTGGGTTTTTTATAACCCCAGTTTACATGTAAAAAATAAAATTTTACATTATCCTTTGTTTTGTGATGATAAACTGATTCAGGACGTGGATCATTGGTGGCCACAGGTGGAGCTGCCGGTGACGTGGAACACGTGAGACTACAGGCGTGGCGGTTGTGCTCTAACGAGGAGGGACAATTGGTGTTGGTAGAGCTAAAACGTGGAGGGACAGCTGGTCTGGAAGCTGCTGGAACCGTCGGCTAGAGCTGCAACGTGGAGGGACAGCTGGTGTTCCTCTAGAAGCTACTATAGCCGTCGGTTGGAGCTGCAACGTGGAGGGGACTGCTATTAATGTAAAAATGGTGATTACAATATGATTTTAAAACAAATAAAACTAATAATTTAGATACTAAAGATGCAATTTACCTTTAATTATAGTGGGAACAAATAAATGGCAGGGGTTCGAATCTTAGCGTTTAGGTATGGAGTAAACTGGATTGGGAGGGTCGACCCATAATGGCCTATGCAAAACTCGATCTGGATTGGGAGGGTCGACCCATAATGGCCTATGCAAAACTCGATTTGGATTAGTCGGTCAATAGATCGAATACCGGTGATTAATTCAAAAAAAATCAACCAGTTTTCTTAAATATGAGAGTTAATTGCATTATATTCCCTCAAACTATGGCCCTTATTTTAAATTGGTCCTTAAACTTTTGAACATTCTAATTTCATCCTTAAACTATCACTCTCAATTTAAATCTATCCCTAAACTTTTGAACATTCTAATTTCATCCCCAAACAATGATCCTCTTTTAAATTAGTCCCCAAACTTTTGAAAATTCCAATAACATCCCTTAAATCACTTAAAAGTTTAGGATTAAAATTAAAACATTAAAAGTTTAGGGACTAATATAGAACTAGGGTCATAGTTTACAGATGAAATTGGAATGCTCAAAAGTTTAGGGATTACTTTGGAATGAGAATTATAGTTTAGGAATAAAATTAGAATATTCAAAAGTTTAGGATCAATTTAGAATGAAGACCATAGTTTGAGGACGTTTAGTGCAATTAACTCTAAATGTGAACTAGAGATGACAGTTCTTCGTCTACATCAGACGAGATAAAATGTCTGAAGTCACAATTATTATTTCTTCGGTTGTACACTAATAAAAGTAAATAAATTCTAATTGTTTTCAATTATTTTTTATAAGAATAAAAACCAAAAATAATTATAATATAATCCCAAAAAAACAATAATGTGGGCGGCTCACTACCAACAAGGCAACAGCCATGGACAAAGAATGTCTTCTTACCTCAAGCTTAACTATTTTCTTTCTTTTTTTTTTAATATTAAGAATCCTTGTAATACAACAAACCCACAACCATGAAATCAAAATAAAACCCCAAATATTAAATATTTGAAAGATCAAATAAAATAATTTCAATGAACGTGTATTACATGATTGGATTTGAAGGGAGATAAGGTTCATTCTCTTATTGATTATTGACTTGGGCTTGCGCTGCTTGATTCTATTTCGCATGTGCGCTTAAACTGTGGACCAGTTTCATAAGATTGTTAAAAGAAATATAATGCAGAGAAACAAGGTGTAAACTATATGACAATATCAAAATCCATGTTCTTAAAAAAAAAGGTACTGCAGCTGTCCAAACACTCTTTCTCTACTTTCAAGCCCATTGTGATTGGTGGAATTCATATTCATTTGCCCACTTTTTACTTCTTTTTTTCTCACTATAAATAGCTGAGGACCATCTTCGTTTGAGTTCATGTTTTTCACAAGCACCGTCTTGGTTCGAGTTCCAATTGTAGATCGAAAGCATCCCAGCTGAATTGCATTGTGGAAATGGAAACCCCAGTGAAGTACATCTGCGTTCTTGCGTTTCTTGTGAGTATGACCATTGCAGGGCTCAATGGAGTGGAGGGAACTGCTTATTATTATGGTCCATGTGGGAAACATGACATCGAGAAGGAGGCTGAGAAGTTGGAACCGTGTACATACGCAGCACAGAATCGGAGAGTACCGGTTTCAGAGCGTTGCTGCACCGTAATGGAGAAAAAGGTGAAGAATCCAGCCTGCCTATGCGCTGTTCTGTATTCTCAAACAGCATACAATGCGTGAGTGAGGCCGGAAATCGCAGTGACCATTCCGAAACGCTGCAACATTGTTGATCGCCCTGTTGGTTACCAGTGTGGAGGTACAGTTCACATTTTGCGTTACATTTACTCCTTGTATGGTGTTAGTTTGAATATTCTAATGCAGCTTTTGTTTATTTGTTGCAGCTTTCACCCTGCCTTAACTCTCAAGACTCCCCAATACATGGCATCAGCAGTATAAGCATGTTGGATTCTCTGTGACATCTAGCATTTTCAAGTTAAATAAAATCTGTTGATGTATCTTTAAATTATAAGAAAGAAATGTTGTTGTTTCTTTGAATAATGATAAGCAAAAGTGCACTTGTCTTTGCAAATCGTCTGCTTCTTGTTGAATAGAGCATGTGTTTGAGTTGGCAAGGGATAAGATTATGGGTTCACTTTTTGGAGGAAATTTTAGTCATTTGTGAAAATAATTAGGTTCAATAGAATTCTGAACATTGCAGATGATAGATAAAACAAATAACAAAGTCAACAAAAAGGGTAAACTACCTCAAGACGAGTTTTTTTGAAGAAGGGACCGAGTTCGCAAATAAGTATTTTTATGGATTTTTAAGTTTTACATTTCACCTACACTTTTTGGATGATGAAATAAATGATAAAAAATTGCTTAAGCTTCACAAATTTATGTTTAAACTAATGTAGGGTTTCTGTTTTTAGAGTTTTTGGGGTTTGAAGAAATATAAACAAAGGTTTCCCATTCCACGCTTAAACAATGCATAATACCAAAAAAATGCCCCTTACATTTGACAATTGTTATTTTGACCCCTATTCATTTTTCAGAATAAAATACTTTCCGACTTTTCATTTTGGATCAAAATACCACTCGATACGGAAGTAGTTTGTTCTTCAAAATCCACCATCTTGGTCAATGGTTTAACCATGCAAAATAATTCTTAATTTTCCCCTTATTTTCATTAAAGCACCTAACCTTTCAACTTTTTAATTTAGTCCTTAATTAAAAATCGAATCAAATTATATTTCAATCGAGCAGATTTATCTCCATCAGACACGCATGCAAGAGCTTAAAACAATCAAATATATTCAATATATTTTACTTATCATATTTTATAATGTCGTGTCTTCTTCGTATTATAATTATTATATCACATAATCATGTCCTGTTCATACCCATATTTCTTATCTGTATCCGTCCTTATAGAGTATTGCCTTTCTACGCGAACTGAAACAAAACAAAATTAAAAAGAAAAGAGGAAAAAGGGAAAGAAGAGTGGTGTTATACAGCTGATGGATGGAGTGAAAATACTCCCAAAGCTAGATCCCACAGAAACAAATTGAAAAACACTCTTTCTCTAGTTCCATGTGCATTGTAATCGGTGGAATTCATATTCATTTGCCTGCTTTCCACTTCTTTATTTCACTGTAATTAGCTGAGTACCATCTTCGTTTGAGCTCAAGTTGTTCACAAGAATATCTTCGATAGAGTTCAAGTTGTACATCAAAAGTATCCCTGAATTGGTTTGCGGAAATGGAAACTCCAGTGAAGTAAAGGTGCGTTCTCGTGATTCTTATGAGTATGACCATTGCAGGGCTCAATGGAGTCGAGGGAACTGCTAATTATTATGGTCCATGTGGGAAGCATGACATCCAGAAGGAGGCTGAGAAGTTGGAACCGTGTACATACGCAGCACAGCATCGGAGAAGTCCGGTTTCCGAGCGTTGCTGCACTGTGATGGAGAAAAAGGTGAAGAATCCAGCCTGCCTGTGCGCTGTTCTGTATTCTCAAACAGCATACGACGCGGGGGTGAGGCCGGAAATCGCAGTGACCATTCCAAAACGGTGCAACATAGCTGATCGCCCTGTTGGTTACCAGTGTGGAGGTAAAATTGGCATTTCGCATCACCTTTACTCCTTGTATAGTGTTTGTGTCAATACTCTAATGAAGCTATTGTTTGTTTCTTGCAGATTTCACTCTGCCTTAACTCTGAAGACTCCCCATTACGTAGTATCAGCATGCTGGATTCGCTATGACATCCAGCATTCTTAACTTAAATAAAATCTGTTGATGTATCTTTCAATAACAAGTAAAAGTGGTGGTGTTTCTTTGAATAATACTAAATAAAAGGTCCCTTATCTTTGCAAAATGTGTTCTTCTTGTTTCTTGATTACCATTCCCCCCCCCCCCAAATCTATGCTGTGAACAGACTAATAATCAAGTAGTTGAACCAGATTTGTCAGTTCTAACATTTGTAGGTAATCTATTTATCAAGAAGACTGCTGTAGTGGACATTGAGAATGGTAGTTTGTGACACTTTATTCTCATCAATGGGTATATTACAAGACTTAAGGATAGTCTTTATAACACTTGGAAATATTACAGACTTTTAGCGTAGGAACTGTGTTATCTCCATTATCCTAAAGATGGCCAGACGTCTTCATCACGTAGGAATTGTGTCATCCACCGATCAGATCTCCTCATCGCGTAGGAACAACATCACCAATAGATAACCAAACTTCCTCATCGCGTAGGAACCGTGTTATCTCCCTTTATCTCTAAAGATGGCCAGACGTCCTCATCACGTAGGAACTGTGCCATTCACTGACCAGATCTCCTCATCACGTAAGAGCCGCTTCACCCTTAGATAACCAAATTTCCTCACCACGTAGGAACCGTGTTATTTCCAAATTTACCTAAAAACGAACAGAACTCTTCATCGCGGATGAGCAGCGTTGTCTTCAATATCAAGTCTCAACAAAAGAGTGACTCGGACAAAAACTCGTTGACTTATCATCTTTGCTCTATTCTTGTTAACACAATAATGAGTAAAGACGAATAACTGTAGACACTTGTTTTTTTCCGGGTTTTATTATTATTATTATTATTATTATTATTATTATTATTATTATTATTATTAATTTATATTTTAGAGAACCAAATGAGGCTCAAGTCACAGCCCAACCAAGGTGCAACCCAAAGCCCACAAGTTACAAAAGCCCAACAGTATCTTGCTACCAGCCCAACAACAAATATTTAAGACCCAATTACAGCCGACCCGACCCGACCCGGTTCAAGCCCAACAACAGGATTCGACCCGAATCGGCCTAAAGTCAACAAACCCAAACAAGAATTAGGTTTTTGTTTTAACCCTAGCATGATCTGCCACCGCCATAACCACCAAGGAGTCACCAACCGGCGCGTGCAACCCATCGCTCGTCACCTCGCTGCGTACGTCATCACTGATGAATCCCTCTACCACTTCTTTCATCAACAGTGACAGAAAACTGCTCCAAATCCATTAAACAAATAAAATATATATATATATACCCACTTTCAAGCAGCAAGAAATCTCGAGAAAATCAAGGTTGTCAATGAAGTCGAAAACAGGTATTCATACCCTATTTTCTCGAAAGCAAAACCAGTCATTCATCAAAAGCCATCACATGCATCACCATAAAAGAGGGAGGGAGAACATTAAAAAAAATAGGGAGAAAAAGAGCAAGAATCGGATTCGAACCAAACAAAAAACAAAAATATCAGTCAAAAGAAAGAAGAAAACTCACCTTTTAGACAATATTCAGCCGTCATTTACTTTATCAGAGTAAAGGGGTTACTCTAATACCCAAGTTAAATCTTTAACCTTTAGGTTTCAGGTTTAGTTGTGGGTTTGAGAATATTTGGGTGTTTAGTAAAGGGTTATGGATTTCAAAGAGTAAAAGGAAGAAAAAGGGGAATCTTTTTATGTTTATCCACCATCGGAAGTCATTGATTTGGACGGCCAGAGGGAGAATGGCCTTGGCTCTCGATGGAAGAAAAGGGAGAGATCAAAGGGCCGAGTGGCCGGTTTGAAATGAAATGAGTTTTACGGTGTTTTTAACCCTATAAAGATGGTTTTATATCATCTTTAGATTGGCGTCGTTTTGGCAAAGAGGGGAGACCGAACTTTAGGTTTAATGGATAATAGCAACCTTGGTCCTTGTAGCTTTATAATCTCACCAGTGTTTTTCACTTTTTGAAGGAAAATCACAGTTTAGGTCCCTCTAGCTTTGTAAGGGTGGTAATCAGGTCACTTAATGAAATTTCATTCTTCTATTTCGAGCTCCTTATCTGTTTTGTGTTATATTTTAGCCCTATATGTTTAGTATTATATTTGTTTAAATATTTAGATATTTATCTGTTAATTTTGCATAGTTTTCATTTTGATCATTATTTGTTCATTAATGAGTTTTGGGATAATTACTTTGTTTTAACTCCTGATTTGTTATTTATTTTATTCTAGTCATTTTTTATCCGCCTAAAAGATTATTATGTACTTTATGTTTTAGGTTTCAAATGTAGCATCATGTTCATTTTAGTCATTATATTAGGACTTAATCTTTGGGAGTTATTGTTGCGGAAGACGCCTATCGGATAGAGCAAAATCGCAACTGATAATTTGAGAAAATAAAAATGAAGATAAAAGAGACATAAAATTTACGTGGAAAACCCCTAAATAATATAGGGTAAAAACCACAAACAACGGTAGAAGAATTTCACTATGAGAAAATAGGAATTACAACTTCTCTCGATCTACCAAGGAGAAAACAATGATAATTCTCTCTTGATAAAAAGGAGAAAACAACTCTTAATAAACTCTCTAAATTCTCTCTAGTATTGGAAGAAAGCTATAATGCTTTGGGATGGTTTTGAAGCTAAATGAGCTAGGGTATTTATAGTTGAAGCTTAAGGAATAACTTATAAATACCCTAACTTACAATGGCTAAAATTGAGTTTCTACCATTGTTGAAAAATCAACAATTTCTGCAGCCCTTTCTAAATGTCAACAAATGCTGCCACCAAATAATTTCCACCGAAAGTTTGGTTTACTTTCGGTGATGCCACTTATTTTCAACAATCTCCCACTTGAAGATTTGACTGGAACAATCATATCTTCACACAATTCTTTCTACCTTGTACCATCATGTTGCTTACGTCTCTGACAGGCCACAAGAGGATCGACACCAGGTAAATTTATCAGCATTGATCGCCTTCGTCATGAAATCTGCTATATTGTCTTTGGTATGGATCTTCTGCATATCTACCGTCCCTTCTTCCATCTTTTCACGAATGAAATGGTACTAAACTCGTATGTTCTTTGTCCTTGAATGAAATGTTGGATTCCTTGCTAGATGCAAGGTGCTTTGACTGTCACAAAATAGAGAAACATGCTCTTGATTGTGCCCAAG